GGGGCTTTCATTTTAACCCAAGTTAGGCGCAAGAATGTGACTGACAGAGCCAAGACTTTAAAGATGCAGAGGAACAATGTTACTTACACACACAGACAGGCCCTGTGTGCAAACTGTGTGACCTCCATAACCAGGGACAAGTAAAATGAGTGCCACCCACTTGCCATTCACTTGTGAGAAGATGATCAGAGCATGAGAGGAACAGACAGGAGCTTTGTTCTGTTTCTCTCCTGAGGCCCCAGGATGGCAGCCAGTGCACATCACATTACCTGCATGTTTAGGCCACCAGCAACACGTGCTAGAGAAAATGTGAAATAAGGGGCTCACTAGGTACCATTCAGCCTCACAGCTCTTAGCACAAAGCCTGGGACAGTCCAGCTCATGCCACAGCACTCGACACCCAGGTTCAATCTCCTGTTTCAGGGATGACATGGGAACAGTTGGGCAAACAGGCAGTCACCGTGTGGAAGACATTTCTGAATACTGCTCTTACAATACACCATTTTCCCTTAGACTTCTGCAGAGAGTCCAGAGCTACAAGAACTATTCTTCCCAAATCACATAGAAGGCCAGCAAAACAAGGAACAGCATTAATTGATTCACAAGAGAGAATCCAGGTAAAGAACTGTAAACACAGTTATGCTCATCTCCCCAGTAACTGCACAGAGATGATATGCTTGACCTCGAAGGGAGGTTTGAATCACCTATTAATATCCTTCCAGAAGAGGTCCCCATATCCATCTTAGGTGCTTAATCGCAGCATTGAATGCATCCTTAGGGTTGTTCCTCATCTACACCTCTTATATACAAGGTTGTTACAAGTCCCAGCTTGAGCATACAATTATTTAGCTCAAGAGAATATTTTTTTTAATCCCCTGCATTTCTGGCTGATGCTTCTGCATTCCAAGCAACACTGAGAAAGGCCTCCCTAACAGCCATGATGGATGGGGCACAGGACCAGCCCAAAAGACCTCCAATCCCTGCCCCTGGGCAGACACATTTTCCCAAGCAGCAGGCAAGGATGGTCTGTCAATGCTGTTCCAATCCACAGAAACAGCAGGTAGACCTGAGATGTAGGATGAATATAGTCTTCATTTAAATAAAATATGTTCATGCAAAATGGTGTCAACACCTTCCCTCTTTTTTTTTTTTTTTTCCTCCCCTCTTGTCACTTCTCTCTCATTTCTGCTCATTTTACCCACATTACAGCTGTAGCTGTATAAATGACAGGCTGTGGCCTAGCATCATGTGATAGATCATCCTACATCAGCTCTGAAAAATGGAGATGCTGTCAACTGTCTGGTTCTCCTCACATTCACTGTCAGCATCAGTGCATTCAGGCAGCATGTCACAGCCATCTGAACAAGATGAATACAGCACTGTGAGCATCAGCTTGGGAACCAAGTCAATCAAATATGTGACCACAACCACACAGAATCATTTGTACTGAGAAACTTCCACAGAGAAAGGGTTTCTAGTGCTCTGCTATACCCAGTACTGCCACTGGTAGTTTTTAATTAAAATATCTGCTTGATCTGGTTGGAAAACAAAGAGGGATTTTTGTGATGAGGCTTTCCATACAGTAGATTGCAAAGAAAATCTCAGCAGCCCCTGGGGTTGAAGACAATCCTGGCATGAACTACAGCTGTCAGGGACCAGTCTGGCTATCTCTAATCTCACTGGACTAGTCTCACTGACAGGCTCCCACTGTGAAGCAAGAGGATTGATTCTCCTGTGCTACCCAGATCCCTCTAATAGAGGGTCAGAGGAGATAATGTCGCATCCTTTCCTCTACCTAGTGTGATAGAAGGTGTCACTGCCCATGGCAGGGGAGTTGGACCTGGGTAAGATTTCTTCCAACCCAAGACGTCCTGTGACTCCATAACTGTTCGGTACAACTAATCTGGAAAGGAGATGAAATTAAAGGGACCAAAGAGAAGACTATTGCCATTTAGTTCTCATTTGTAAAAGCAGAAAATAGCAGTGAGTCATGCAATGGTTCAGCGCTCTGTTCATAGTACAACATGGGTATGCACTGCCTCCTTTCCCACCACCCTCTCCTCAAGGCTCCTGGCCTCTGTATCCCAGCTGGGTGCACTGAAAGTTGTGCACCCCTTATCAGGGCACCTTGAAACAAGAGGCCTTGCCCATATAACAAGAAGCTGCACAGTCTAAAATTGTGGAGGGTATGAAATAGGAAAATAAATGTTAATCCTGTTTCACTGTATTTCATCAGACAACATCCATAGCTTTTCTGGTTTTCTCTCTCTTTCTTCTCTCTGTCCCCTAGAATGCTCCTCTCATAAATATGTCCAGGTCTTTAAGTGTCTCTCTTATAAAATGTCTGTATTCTGTTGCCTGCTAAGGTTGGTCTCACAACCTGGACAAACAATCAGTCACTACACAAACAAGCAGGAAAATGTTAACCCATTGTGCCTGTGCTCAAACTGGTTTCAACATCAACAAACTAAAGCAGTGGTTTGGAAAAACACCAGGAATGCCTTTAGCAATTCAGTGATAAAAAGCAGCATTCGCTCAGTTAAAGTGGCATTTATGGGCAAATTTTTGAGCACTGTCCCAGAATGAAAAAAAATAAATAAGTATCATAAAAACATCAGGAAAAATGCCATAACAGCAAGGACTTTGCAACAGTCAGAGAACAGTCGTATTGAAAGAGAACAGGATTTCAGCTCAGATAAAAGATGACTCTTTCAGCTATCTTGGGAGGTTCTCCAACCAGAAGATCCATTTGAATTGTCAGTGGAAACCTGGACTCTTTTTGGCTGCTAGCACAAGTGTTGAATCTCTTTCTGGGGTGGGGAACCTGTGCTACATGTCTGTATCTGAATGACACAGCTCAGTGTAGGGGGAGAGGAACTCCAATTCAGTTACAGAAGCACTTCTGGTTTTACCTTTACAGCAGAAGGAGATGGGATAAATTGCAAAGGAGAACCTGCATAACATTGTTAACAATAAAGTGTCCTCCTGATTTCTGGAGGGACTACATCTCTCGGCCTCGCCTGGATCTCATTTGGTACCTGAATGAGAGCACTGTCTCATTCACTGCTTTATCTGAAAATGAAAACTTAAAGCAATTTAGAAATTTAGAGTAATTCTATGGGGATCCCTCCATGACGCTTCTGCCCCTCATGTGGCCCTTGACTAAAGGAAAATGCTCCTTGCCTTCTTGATGCAGAATGCACATGCAGCTGAGCTAGGCAATTTATCTGAAATTTGATACCCATTATTAAAAATAGCAACAATCAAGACCGTTTACTTAAATTATTAAAAATATTCCCCAAATTCCAAAAGACAGGCAGTTCCTGTGGATTCTCTACTGTCCCTGTCAGCAGGGATAGTCATGTGGAAGTGTTCATGTGCAACTGTGGATATGAATCAAATGAAGATGCTACTTCTGTTGTATATACCAAGAGATGCATTTATTTAAATAGCTCCCTGCACTGACAAGGGCCTTAAAACAGCTCAGTATCAGCAGACAGGACCTAGAACGTGAAATTAACTCACAGGCAGGGGATCATATAAATCATGGAAAGTTTCTTCAGTTTTATATCACAGCCTGTACATGAAAAAATAAGCAGCGAGGCCAGGCTCAGACCATATTTGATTCTGCTAATATTCAAACGTAGTCCATTTGGGAGATAAAAAAATTCTATTATAGTTCACAAAAGATAGAACAAAACTGAATTTTTCTTTCTACCAATAGTATTTTGAAGAGTAATGCAGGAAAGCTGCAAGAGATTTTATTTTGTGTTTAAAAATACTCTACAGAAATTATAGAACAATCTGTATTAAAAGAATTATTTCTTCATAATCTAGCAAATTTGACTTTCATTTGCCGTGAGGTACAGTTACCTGACACATTGTCGAGTTGATGGATATTTTTAAAGTTAGATCTCATTCTAAAATGCAGGCTGTCTGCTGCCAGCACTTGAGTAATGTGCTGGCTCATTAACAGATCTCTTTGTACGAGAAGAGGTAGAAGATTATCCCCAAGCTCGTGTCTTCTAGCCAAACAGACACATTATTCTTGTGGTGCTCAAAGTTCTGAATGGTCATTTACAGTAAAGGCAACAGCTTTCACTGGAAAACAAGTGGCTTGCCAAGAAATGATGAATTAAAAAAAAAAAAAGAGAGGAAAGAAAGAATAAAGAGGAGCAGATCCATTGCAAATCTCCAAAAGATGAAGTACTGACAAGGAAAAAAACTTGAGAAATGCTGTAACTTGATAATCTATCTCATACCTCAACAGCTCTGCTATTCCCTTGGATTCTACCAGGAGGAATACAGAAATGTGACAGAAATGTAGGTGTCAGAAGACAATCTAACTGGGGGCAGGGATTGGAGAGGCAAAGAAAGCTATGAAATATGATATAGGTACAGTGCCAAGTAATGCAGCATTAAGACAAGCTGACATTACTAGAACAGATATAATTCCTGGCCTTACTTGATGGAGCTTATTCACTGTGTTCATCACTTCTTATCCAAGCTGTCAGGAACATTGTAGCACTTATCATACACAGTATTAACAAAAAACACACCTTTGAAAACTGTGTTAAACAAACTGAGATAATTCATGACAGAGTTGCTAAACTCACAGGAAACGGGTTTGTTTTCTGACCACCGAGCCAAAATCTTGAAGACTTTTCATGACAGGCACTTCTCATATAACCATTGCTTACGTTTTTTTTTTTTACCAAGAAGCTTTCTAAAATCTCAGTCTTGTGGGGTAACTGCCAAGAAAGTAGACAACTTCAAATTTTTCAACTCTCAAGCGTTAACTGGTGGGTCAAATAGAATCTGGTGGGTCGCCCATGTGCCGTGTCAGCACTTTAGTCAACAAGAACTAATACCTAACAGACCAAAACCCTTCGGGATATTTGTTCACGTTCTTTCAAATTAACATTGCATGTAAACTTGTCTACATAACTGAGCTCTGGCAAAACATTGTGATATTAGGGCAAGGTTTGAGCCAGTCTTACCTGTCATTACTGCACTGGAGGAGCATAAACACAATATCCAGTATGGAGTGTGGTCACACTTGTTTGTCAGTTGCATGCAGAGAACATGCTTCTCATCACTTACATCTCTGATCAGGGAATTAGACTTCTGTCAGCATCAGTGGAGTCACTGAGGGAGAAAAGAGTAACAATCTGCATTCCATACTAGTTGGCTAAAGTAAGTAGATCTGGTCAAACGGTGAACTAATTCAGAACTAGGTCATTAAACAAGTTAGCTCTGATATTATTCACTGAGTTGCATTATTCATTGTGTGCAGATAATTGCTAGGTCATTTGCAAAATATTTCTGGCTCATGATTATTTCACAAATTTTAATTTCTTCAAGAAAAGTTTCAGTCATCCAATGAGGAAACAGTGAAAGAATGACTATGAACTGGATTATCTATTGTATATCACAAACATTGTCTTGCTGAAGTGAACCTGTCATGAATAATCCATAGACCAAAACAGATGCACCTATTGCTTACAAGCAACACAAAGATAACAGGCTTGGTCTGCAAACAATAGAAAGTAGGTTATTGAATTGAATTATTGTATAATTCATTTGCAACAAATAATTCAGGGTGCTGATTTCTTTCCCAGAACACATTTACAATAATATCTACTTTGAAACTAGTAAAACCATATAAAGTTAAATAACACAAATTAATTAGATTAATTAATTCTAAGTACCTGAAGGCTGACTTCAAAACCCACAAGGAAAAAAGAGTAAGGTGAACAAAAAAAAAAAAAAAAGGCTACTTTTAGATTATATAGTGCTCCTTCTTCTGGATGATAGAAGAGTGATATTTAACAGCGTCAGTAAACTCATAAATTTGCTGAAATTACCATTACTAAAAAAAAGTATCCCACCATCCCACCACTCTCTATCAGCCTCAAGACATGATTGGGTACTTTGCTACATGCACAAGACCACCCCAGTACCACCTTCAGCAAGGTAGTTTCAGTAGTCAATGTATTATCAAGAGGCAGTGTCAGGGAAAAGTCAGTAGTGAAAAATCTAAATTACTTCATCCAATAATGCTTCAGCACTATAAATAAAACAGGTCGCCACCGTTTTAAGGACATCATTTTGCTGCCTCTTGTTGTAACCTTCCCAAATGCCAAAGACTAACAAGAATGAAGTGTTTTTTGGCCTTGAATGGGAGACTCCTTTTGAGAAGTGAGACCTTAAAGGACACAGGGAAAACTATTCAGACATTAGACATTTTTTTCCCATGGAATTTTTATTACCCTTTGAAATTTCCTCTTGAACTTCCAAATCTGGATATTCTTTTAATGAATCAGATGCCTAGGAAATGGCCACAGCTTGCTTATTTTCATTTGTTTTAACATTAAGTACCTCCTAAAAAAGGCTTTCCTAATTTTTTGTAGAATTAGAATTGATAGGATTGCTGGAGATAGAATCTCCAGATTTGCCACCACAGTGATAGCAAAAAAAACAAAAACTAAAACAAAATAAAACAAGAAACAAGACCCACTTAAAAACCTATAATGTGGCCTGGGCTTCAGGTTCCATTACAACAATTTTCCTTAATAAAGCAGTAGAAAAATGTGGTGAAAAGATGTCCTAAATCAGACACTCTAATCTGCCTCTTTCTTGTTTTATTAGTATTTTAATTTACAAACTTTGTAGACTTCATGCTTGAAACTCACAGGCAGTTGGAGATAACCACAAAAGGAACTGCACAAAACTACAAACAAAGCAGCTGCAAATGTTAGGAGTGGACTAAAGTCTTAATCCTGCAACATCCTACTCAGGTAAGTGGGTCTTGATAATGTATCTGAACTTTGTGTAAAACTGGACACAAGGAACAGCTTGAAAACTTTGTGCATATTTTGCAGTACTCTGAAATGTTTTCTGAGGAAAACTAGGTTTTCAAGATGTCTCTTGAGTGTTACCATGGTAGTTGATATAGGGAAATAATTTCCAAGGACAGAAATGTCAACTGCCTGATGCCCAACAATCATCTTCAAAATACTTGAGGGACAAAGGCAGGGCTATTTACCCACTGTTGGTACAAGCAGGAAAGAGTGTAATCACTTTGCATAGTTTCCCTCCTGAGGCTGAGGACAAACAGGAACAAATCTGAGGTCACTGCAGGCTAACATGGCAATTACCTTACCCTCCCTTTTCCCAAAAGGTATCCCTTGTGCTTTTATGAGTTTAAGAGTACTCAGCAGATGCTGAACTTCCAAAACAAAGGATTATTTGAAGGGTTGGCTCACATGACGCCCTCACAATTTAAGGGACAAGGACACGCTAAAGCATTTCTCCGATACAGGGACAGGATGAATAGACAAATCTTCAGACTCTTTTCAAGTATCTTATTACTCTGTTCAATTATCTGTTTGCAAAACACCTCTTCTACTTTTGTCCTAGCTTTTTCTGTTAACTTTTTTACAGTTAAAAAATGCTCATGTTCTATATTTCTTTTATTTATTTATTTAGGATTCATAGTTACCTCCATTTTATGTCCCCTTGGAACACAGGAGTTGTATCCATAGCAATTAATGTCCATAAATAATGCAATGTCATGTAGCAACATGAAATACGAAGGCCACACGTTAGAAAACCAGACTGGTGAACATCCAGCTGGTAGTCCAACACTCTCAGTCTCAAATATCTACCTAATTCAGATTGGTAGTTTTACAAGGAATATGAAATTTTTGTCTAAATCTCCTTTAATGTTTTCTGGACTTAAGTATAATAGCCTCTTCTCAGATATTGTTTTGGTTTCAGATGCATATAGAGTGCTTTTGATATACAGGGAGAAATAAAACACAAAGGGAGAGAAGAAGAGAACAATTAATATGATTTATTAATATGAAATGTGCATTAATCATTAGCCAGCCATTCTACATTCATCACTTACAGGAAGGCTCATCATTCAAACCATTTTTGGTGCCAACGTTAATTGCCTGATCTTGGGGATGATCTTCCTTCCCACTGAAATCAACAAGACAACAATTTTCACTAACTTTTACAGGTACACATTTTGCCCCTTAATGGCAGCCAAAGAGCTGCCTCCTTGTGTTTCTTCTGTTTCCAAATAAAATGCCTCCTAGGCCTCTTCTTTTGTCTTAATTTAATTTTCAAGATGAGTTCTATACACTCAAAATTTTACCAACTGTTTTAACCTACAGTGATGGCTTTGTCACTGAATCTGCTGAGAACATCACAAGGCTTTCTCTGTAAATCATTCCATTCTTTGCTCTTGTGTTTTGTTTTTTTATGTGTACAGCCACTACAAATATAACACCTGATCTGAATATTTAATGCTCACCTGCCACTGAAACCATTACTTTGAATATCACCATGGAGCAAAAACAACACACACTCCTACAAGGAATGCCATTTGGTAGGAGGATGGTACTTCATAACAATAAATAAAATGCATCACCTATCATAGCAGATGACATCTGCTATATCATATTATGTAAGAGAATGTCTTGTTTTGCTTTACCCATCAGACAACGAATTGCAGTGGCTGAAAAACTTCTGGTGCTCATACCTTACTTCTGGAATAAGTGTCAGCCCATTTTTACTTCCTCAAAAAGATACCAGCATGTACAGGAAAGCTCTTGTGGGAGATTGCAAATCTGCAAGGATGTTTGTCCAGGCCAAACCTAGAAGTTCACAAAAGTCTGTGATTCTTTGCAATCCAGAGCTTGTACATGAGCTACTCATTCAGTATAGTGGTTTAGACAGGCTTAGAAAACCACCATACAACAGGCAGCTACATCCATTTAACTCATATAGAAAAATACATCTCTAAATGTATTATGCTACATGCATCAGCAAGCAAAGCAGTCACACAAGTCAACTCTGCATCACAGAGATTTTCCTTCCCCACACACCCAATATACATTTGTCTTTTAAATAGTCCCCACACCATTTTTGTCACTGAAACAACATTACTGGAAAATTGCCACTAATTCTTTTTTCATCTTTCAGAAGAAATGTTTCCTCATTATTTTATTTTAAATGTTCACATCATTTTGAAGCAATTTTCAAAATCACTGACATTTTTATTTCATGAGAATCAGTCTTTTCTCAGCCTTCACTAAAAAAGATTGTAACCCCTGCTGTTTTTTGTGAATTAGCATTTTCAAAAGTTGTTTTGAAAATTATTCAAAAATTATTTGGAGTCTAGTTTTTAGCGTAACACAGCATAGAAAAGTTCATTGGAGATAGACCCATTTCAAATGGTGTGTATTATATTGTTTTTTTAAAAAGAAAAAAATCTGTATTTTCTGGTTGCCTAGATAATTTCTATCAAGAGCCCTGAATGTGCTAATGGACTCCAATTCCCTTGAATTCAATGGAAGCAACACACTTTAGCATCTCATAAGGAGGTAACTACCACCACATGACTGGATTTTCAAAGGACACTTTCTCCAACTACCTTTGTCTTGAAAGAATTCAATTTAGTCAGCCCCAAAGCCTGTCTCAGTCATACAATACATGTTTACAATCCAGCTATTTCTCCCATTGTCCAGCGCATAACTTTCAAAAACATCTATTAAATGGCTGCCTCCTTGGTCCCCAATCTCTTTAATTTGCAAAACTGCTCATCTCTTTATTGGAATGTTGCCAGAGGACCATGGTCTGTTAGGGAATCTATCTAAAGTCATAAGAGCAAACAAAAATTCAGCTTTGTAAAAAAATTAAAAATAATTATTGGTTGCACAATATAAGAAGCTTGAAGAATTCAAGCCAAGTTAGAAGGTTCTGGATTTGAAGAAATGATGACAATAATAAAAATCACAGAAACTGAATTGACTAAATTAATTTTCTTGTAAAAGTGTCACAGTTACAGATGGTAACAATCTGGAAATAGCTGCAAAGAGAAAATAATTACAAAGGGATGAAAATGTATTAATGCTCAGCCATACTGGATGTGTGGGAAAGTATACTCTGATGTATTCCGGCTGTACTTAATTCATCACCCCACTGTACTAAGCGCCCACTTTAACAAACAAAAACATTGTCTCACTTGTTGAAATCCTTTATTTAGTAATCTGTGTAGGCTGAAATGTTGAAAATGGTTTCTAAATTCCTGGCTTCTGAATCCATCTTCAAAGTTGTCTTTGACTGTATTATCATACAGCTGCAGGCTTTAATCAAAGGTCATTAGATTTACCAATTTCTGTCAAACATCCTGACATCATTCCTTCAAAGGAAATACCTACTATTTTAGAACTTGCAAGGAAATGCCACTTAATCCAAAATTGTTCCAAAATACAATCTCACACCAAGGGTGAGAGGCAGGAAGAGAGAAATTTTGGAGCATTCTTCAAAGTCGGCATTAGCATAGCTTGAGAAGCTGCAAAATAGCAGACAAGATTTAGCCAAAATCCAAAAGTCAACAGAGCCCAGGCATACATGCTACCCATGTCATTTTTTAGCACCTGCAAACAAGCACTGCTCCACGAAGAACTGCACATGTCAAAAATCACCCAGGCTTTCAGTACCCTCTGGATCAGGTGCTAACAATTGCCAACATGGTATGGAAATTAACCCCAAGCCATTTGAGAAATCCAGTCCAGGAGGTGTGCTAAAGCATCCTTTGTGGATCAGGCACACTGCAAGTGGAGCACCACACCTCAGAAGCGTGTGCCTTTGCCAGGAAGCAGGCAGCAGTGCTTCATGCAGGTACTTGTGCAGGCAGCCTCCAGGTAATTCCATGTAATTCTCTTGGGAAAGATACTGTATTATATTCCCCCTTGAGATGGATCTGCAATTCTATACAGAATTAAATGCAGCCTTGGAAAAATTGTGACAAATTATGTATTTTCCCTCATTTATAAATCACAAATGGCTAGCATGACACATACAGAGGTGCTCCTAAGTCCAGGGAGGACATGCACATCTTCTTTGTAATCCCACTGAGGTAGTAGGCTCAAATAAAGTCCCTGATGTTTAGGACATTTGAGAGCTGCCAGTATAAGTAGAACAGAAAGAAGGAGGACACATGTTGGTAGGATGCACCACTTGGCAACAACGAACAGCTTCTCAAAAGGTGACAGAGCTACTTGTGTCACTTGCTGAGACAATGACTTTCACCTCCAGCAAGTCCTGAACAAGGACAGAAAAAGGGTTTCTGGAAATGGAATCATACTAATCATATCTGGGCTATTTAATATCTGTTTCTAGTAATGACTGCTAAGTAACCAGAGCATTGTGCACAAGGTAACATCCTACTGCCTGGACTGGCAAAAGCAAACAGTACCACTGTATAGATCTGTCTCTCTACCTATGAAAAAAAAAGATGCACAAACACTTTATCCGGTTTTTATGTTTTATCTACTTCAGACAGTGAACCAAATAGACTAAATGTTTTATGGACCCATCAAGAGTAGCCTGTCAGACAAAACTGGGAACCACAGTAGACATTCTTCTTGCCATTAGTGCTGTTTACAGCTCCCAACATCATCAAAAAAAGAAACAACGGAACAAAACTGAGTACAAGATCCAAGTGGCATGGTCAAAGAAAAGCAATTCCACCCTTCATAAGTGGTACAATTTGAGTTTTGTGAAGAGGTACATTAAGGGATGAAGCTTGAACACACACAGCTGTTCAGGCATCACAGGACTAAGAGATGTTTATACATGAAGAAGCACAGCTTTCTTTCCAAGCAATGTACATTCAGAAGACCTGCTAAACACTGGGTGTCTTTATGTCACTGCCAAGCAGCCGTAATGAATGAAGAAGCACTTCTCAATCCCAGCTAAGATCAAAACATTATTCGTGAAGAAGAAGAAAGGTCTTTCTGTATTAAATAAACCAAAGCTTCTGTACTGCCAAACAGTCCTTTGGGGAGTTCAAGTGGAGCCTGAGAGGGACATGATAGAGAACACAATAGTTGCTCCTCTACAGAAGCAAAAGAAGAGTGTTTTCCTTCTTTCCAGGCCTGCAAAAGCAGTGTTACCCTCAGTTCCCACCTTGTCTCAGCTGGTGCTATAAAAGGTTCCATCTGCTCCAGCCACACAGTCAGTTATCTGTGATGTTTACTCTATGCACTCACACTATTACTGAAGATTGGTGCTCATTTCTGAAACTGTTCAAAGCAAAAAGTAACAAATGTTTTATTCTGGAAAGGTTCCCAGCAGATACATATCCCCACCCTTACCATTACTTAAGTTTTTCCTCCGTATTATTTTGAAAAGATGAGATCATGCAGATAAACTCTTATCCTGATAGTCTAACTGAACTGAGATCTAGCTTTTTGAAAATCAGCAAACTGGGTTACAAGCACAATATTATTTGCAGCTATGCAATGGCATTGGCAGCATGATAGTTAATTTTCTGTAGGGCTTGCTATCAAGTGTATGCACTACTGTACAGAATGAACACAACTTCTGTTACACTCGGTTTATCTAAAAGGGTTTGTTTTGTTTGCATTAGACAAAAGAATTTGATTGTCAGAAGAAAGTAAGCTTCTGTTATTGTTACTTGGGCAGAACAGTGTGTGGGTTAATGGATCTGCCCACAAAAGCTAAATAGCTTTAGCCACTTCAAACACAAACTGTGAAGAGTTGTTATATCCTAAACTGTAGCCACAAAAAGTCCTTAGCATAGTTGGCCTAAACTAGGAAGCATCTTAGCTATGTAAACTACTTCTGAAGGAGATTAACACATGGATAACAAGTCCTTGTCCTGATGAGCTCATAAATGGAATAGGGTTTTGGTTTTGTTTTGCTGGGGGTTTTTTGGTTTCATTTTGGGGTTTTTTTGTGCTTTTATTGTTGTTTTGTTGTTTGTTTTCTATTGTTTTGTTTTGGGGTTTTTGAGGGGGTTTTTTGTTGTTGTTGTTGTTGTTTGTTTTTCTTTTCCCCTTAGGTTTCTGCTGCTATTTCCCAACTGGCTTCTCAGAACAGTAATCCATCATAACTCTCTTGATATATTTTTACTCTGCTTATGAATTTCCATTCTTTTCAGTTTGATCAAGAAATAATTGAAAAGTTCACTCTTTTGCTACTAATGAAAAGGACATTAAAAATAAAAAGTCAGCAACTGACACAATTACCTAAGGGATTTAATTTTTAACATGAAATGAACATTAAGTTTAGCCTCTCCTCAAGGAAAGCAGATTGGACACTTATGCTAGGCTTTATAATACCTGTGAAGCAGGTATTATAGTATCAATAGCAATAATCATGCTATAGTTCTACAGGCCATGTCCTGTGGTCTCCTAAGCCCCTTTTCAAGTAACTTCCACCTGCAAAGTTACATCCGAAACATTGCTCACTTCCATGCCTAAAAAATGTAAATGTAAAACTTTGTGGGTTTTTTCCCATCTACTCTTCCTCAGTTGTTAAGGTTCACAAGAGACTCACAAATATTGAAGAGTTTTTGAACTGAAGAATAAAAAAAATTTAAAATAAATAGAGAAAAATAAATAACAACATAAGATACCACTTTCTCATTTATGCAGCATGATGGCTGTCTAAAGCTATGGAACAAGGTCACTTTTTAAAAAATGGTGTGATGCTAAACTGGTAAAACAATTTCAGCAACCATGAAAAAATGTACAGTGAAACCAAGTCCAATGAAAAACCTAATCTCTAATATATACAGGCTAATTCACCAGAGCAGGATTTCCCCAGTTGTAGCTGCTCAGAATCAATGCTTGCCCTCCCCACAAGATGACTCTCCAGCACAAAGCCTCTTGACCAGCAGAAACACTCACCCTTCCTGTCTTACCTTGTTTTCCCAAGCTCTTACCAACACAAACACATTAACTGTTAATCCAGGCTATACAGCATTCTGCTGAGCATCTCCTTCATGGTTTGAAAGAAGTTGCTACCTTTTCCTAAAATCAGAGCACAAAGGAAGGTTACACAACACAACGTACACCACTCGATGGGACAAAGCTCAAATAAGATGCTGCTTCATTTGCGTGCTGAATATAAACAATACTGTATGTGTGTACTACATGAAAACAAAGACTGATGGTGACATCCATCTTTTCTTATTCAAAGCTCGTGCATGAAAATATAGGAGGTGGCCTGTTCAGAAGATCCTTTTTCTTCCAGTGACCCATTTGCCCAGGCCAGCTACTGACAGAAAGTTTGTCCCATGAGTAGTCCTGCTTTCAGTACACTTGAAGAGTCAAGTACAGCTAATGACAATATGGAATCCTTGGGCACAGCTCGAAATGCTTGCCTAATTTCCAGTGAATTTTACAGAGTTGTGACTACTGCCATTTGGAAGGAGGTTAGCTGGCACAGGATCAAGCAATACACCAACAGTTTCAAATATGGAGCAAGGTATTAACTTTTCCAATAGTTTAGTTGCAACCTCCCAGCCGCAGCTATGTTTTAAGCGATACATTTGAAGAAGAGGAAAATAAAAGTACTTTTACAAGTACTGCCACTTTTAACTACTGCTAGTACTTTTAAACACTTTAAAAGAAGACTTAAAAGTACAACTAAGCTTATTTCTAGGCTTTGTTTAAAACAGAGAAATATAATTTGCATATTGACAAAAAATAAAACAAAACCAGCTCTACCTGCTGAATGGACAAAGTCAATTTAACCAGGCAAGATGTAGGCAGCATTCTCTCTCCATAATAAATGTAAATACTGTATCTCTAACAGTCATTAAATTATATGTAGACATTAAAATTCTTGGATTCCAGGTGCTACAAAGTAAACTTTTACTGTCATACAAGAAGTCATGCTCATACCAACGAGTGCTGCCTACTGAGTTATCTTCCACTAGAGAAGGAAAGTTTGGCTTGAACTTTCATCATCCTCAAGACCTTTTATTCTTATAAATTACTGTCAATCAATATTTGTGCTAGAAATACCCCAATTTTCCTCTGCTCATGGTTCCTTAATTGCTTACATATTACCTTAAGATAATCTTAAAACATTTATAATCTTCTTAAAGCAAACCCCTTTGGGTATAGGAACACAGAGAGATTCGGAGCAAATTTTTTCTTCTCAATCTATTTGTACCTGTCTTGCTAAGTACAATGCGTCAACCAAGCCCACATCCTGGATTTAAATTTATAATGCTCAGTTCACCAGAGGGATTTACCTTTGCAGGGAGGAAAGAGGCCTGTTCAGATGCATCTTAATGCCTGAATCATTTTCAGAAAAACTGATTATGCAAATGAACATGAATAGCATTAAAAAACATATCTTGGAGTTCTGAGTTGTAGTAGGAAAAGGTTGGTTTAGTATGCTTCCCTTTATGCATGGCTGATCTGTACCAGGCACCATGGGCTGGTCTGCACGGGCCATTCAGCACAGCAACAGGGTAGTCCCTGCTATAGATGTGACAGCAATTCTACAGTTTCCTCCCCTTCCCTTTTTCTTATCCATCCTCTAAAACATCTAAGGAAGGTTAACATTTGTTGGATTTGGATTATACCTGCATTCAAACATTTTAATCTTCTGGACCCTAAACACCACTCACAGGAAAACGTGTCATGTCCTGAAGAAGCTGTTTACCAAGAACAGCCTCATTGAGGCAACATAATTAATGAATATTAATCCAGACAATAACTCAGCAGACAGACAGGGATGCAGTGTCAGCACACAGCAAGACGAAAATGGGATGCCTTTCTGTGTGCAAAGAAGGCAAACACTTACATGTTAAAGGAATTTCAGGAAATGAAAACGGAAGGGGCTGGGGAGTTCAGTTAGAGGTAGATTTGCACACCATCAGGTTTCTATTCCTGGAACAAGTTTTTAACTTTTTGGTTTTAAAATGAGAAACTATAAGAAGCTCATTGGTGTCCCAGTAAGTCTTAAGAAATAGTAAAATTCATCTTTCTAGATTTTTTGGTCAGGCAGCAAGAAGTGATTAAGCTCCCCATTGCTCAAATTAGCAGTAGGTAACTGTAATTTCAGCTACAGCACTGGAAGGAATACTGGGAGAATAATCCATATTTTTATATCTCTGGGCTAGCTATGCCAAATCACAGGAGGAGACTAGAGACTGGATTGTTTGCCATAGAGCCTCTCCAGTTCTTGCAATCTTATCCCTGGTCTCAGAGGTATCTGTTGCATATTTGAAAACCTGCTCTTTGGATCTACTTCTTGGATGTGATGCTTGGTTTTATAGGAGAAGTTGCAGTTGACTCTTCCCAGGGAAGGTGAGAAGCAAGTCCCTGGGTCATGGAAACCTACTGTGAAGGTCCATGTGTATCTCTGCTCAATATGGAACTATACTCTGATGATTAAAACCAATCCAGATTTTTTTCATTATACCCTTTTTTTCTAGAGGAAAAATAAATTATATTTTTCATGAAAATTATCTGGGGTTTTTTAGCTAAACCAAATTTCTTTAGGGTGCAATTATTCTAGAAACTCATATATATTGTGTCTTCACATACAGCACTATATAGCTCTTTGGAGGAAAAACACAAGAAACTTCATCAGAAAACACAAGCAAAAGATATAAACATATTTTAAATACAGCTAATTTTTCCAGATCTATGTAGACATAAAAACATTAATTTTCTGAATAGACGGTTATGGGATCTGTTGACATATTGTTACTACTAACTCTCAGCAGCACAAAAGTTCCTTGAGAAGCAAAACTAATGAAAACTGGTTGTTTTCCTATCAATCAGGATTCCACAGACACTCTGTCTAATACCAAATATGCTCGAGGCACAATTTCCCTCTGCTTTCAGGACATTCATAACATCACTCTCTTCTGCTGATCTCTGCTGCCCAGTAACACAGTTATGTGGCTGCCTTTATGTCAAAGCAGACATGAACAATATATCTCCTCTTCTTACTACCATGAGTCATGCAGTTTTGTAGGCTCAGAAGAACCAATTATCTTTAGAACTTCTGTCAAATTTGGTTAAAAACAGTGAAAGCACTGAGAAGAGTAAAAGGAGTTGTGTGCAGATGTGCAGACAAGCATAGAGCATGATCTCTTAAGCCATGTTTCCTGAGAAAAAACAGCTAAAAAAGGAGTATGGCAGTGGTTTTTTCAAAGCTCATTCAAATAAGGAGATACACTGTATATCCTGTTCAGCATGCCTTTTTTAAACTTTTGGAATGCAGTTGCATTCATAAACAGCTATAAATACATCCCATAGAAACAACATATAGCTGCTCTTTCTCCCTATTCCCAGCCAAACCTCTTCTCTCCAAATCTAAGACAAGAGCCTATTTTGGAAACTAAACCTCTGTAATATATGTATTTGTGCTATTTGGAAAAGGACAAGTTCTTCTGAGAAACAAAGCCAACATAAAATGCCCTTGTATCATCAGCCATACAACTTTCCTTCACAGCTAAAAAGAGCAATAATTTTTACCTTGCCGACATTAGGACACAGAAGCTATTCCCCATATAAAAGGCTTGTCAAAAAGGTGCTTTTTTTGTCACCCTAAAATAAAGCAAATTCAACATCTCATGCCTACTTTGTAAATACACTTCATAGACAAATGAGAGCAGCTTGCTTTCACAGTGTTTGTATCTTGGAGAAGTTTATCCATGCCTCTGGCATATCAAAAATATTTTTCTATAACACCTGGTAAGGCTTTGGGAATCAGGGTATGTGACAAGAACAGCACAAACTCATAAGGGTGCTCAATCCACATTCTCAAGAGATCATTGATTTGAGAGGACTTTTGTCCCTGAGTGGCAAGCTTGCCATTGCAAGGGAAGAGGCAGGCTTAGCAACATGACTCCTTGTTTTCTGTACAAGCAGCAAGAGTAGCCCAGGATCTACTCCAGAGGCACAGCTCGTTCGGATAAGGCCGGCAGTACGGAGCAGTGGCTTTTGGCTTTATGTTCACACAGAAGCTCGGAGCATGCAGTGATGCCAAGTACTTGTAAAACCACTTCTCTCTTTTCCAGCCCTCCCTGATCTCCAATTCCAAGTTTGGAAGGCTGACACTTAATTGGATTAATTAAGTTTAGCTGCATACATTTGAGGGAGGGACAACCAAACTGCATCCACAGCTCCTGCAAACACTTAGATGTTCCTGCAAGACCACAGGCTAGAACTATCACTGTAAGCAAAATAAGCCACGGGCAATGCCTGCCCAACAGCCTTGGGCAGGGAGAGACCTGTCATCACTTATTGTGAGAAACCCAGTTTAAGAATACAAGAGGTACAACCCTGCTGACAAACCCCATGACTTCCTGCACTTCCACAACTGGCAGGAGAAGCTAAAAATCCCTCCGAAAATTGAAAAGACCACAGCTCTTCCCACAAGGACATTCCTATGACTAAAAAGTCTTGATCAGAGCTTCTGACCAAAGCCACTCTTCTGTATAGCAGAGCATTTGATTTTAAGACAGTTTCTGTTGGATCAAATCCATAAGCAAAGTGCTGAGCTATGGCAAACTCATTCCACACAAGCATGTTCTAAACAAAAAATAAATAAAATTAAAAACTTAAGGGCATCTCATTTTTAGCATACTTTATGCTGGATTAGGTATTGTCTTTCCACCCACAGCTGGCACAATCCCAACATAACTTCCACTCTGTGTTCTGCTTAATTTGACACTTGATCCAGATCATATTTGTGCTGCTTAGTGACTTGGTATTAATGAATAAGAATCAGATTTAGGAAGATATTTTCTATCATAAGGTCAATCAGGGTGTCCTAGACACAGGGTAATTATGATAACTTATATTTTTTTTATTCCTGAATTACAGAGATAATTTCTGCTAAAACAACGCAGATCTACAAATTCAAAAACACTTAACAGCCATATTTCATCCTTCTTCTAGTAATCTTTAGAGATGATTGAATTCCACAAATTACAAAAAACATAGCATCAGAACTGTGTGTTTTGTAAGCTATTTTCTCCTTAGTTCATCACTTCAC